CAAATCTTTCATATGGATTTTTTTGTAAAAAAAAAAGATGCAACATTTGCAGATATTTTTACTGGTCTTCCTTTATAAATATGCATTTCTTTAAACATAATTTAAAAGCAGTGTAAGTGAAGTAATCAAAACATTGTATGTGGATTACCTCCCTTACACTGTTTTAAATTGTCTCAATTGTTCATTAACCATTACTTTATACATAATTTAAAAGCAGTGTAAGGGAGGTAATTCAAATGATGTATTTGATTTATCTCCCTTACACTGCTTTAAATTATGTTTTGTACTAAAGTATTTGTCCATATAAAAATGCTTGTTTTTTGCCCCTTTTTTGGCCCCTAATTCCTAAAATTTTGAGGCAATTACCCCCAAAATCAATCCCAGCATTCCCTTTGTGATATGGAACATTGTGGTACAATGTCAGTGAGATCCATACACTAACACACAAGTTATGTCTGGAAGTTACAAAAATGCTTATTTTTGGCCCCTTTTTGGCCCCTAATTCCTTAACTGTTGGTACCATAACCCCCAAAATCAATCCCAACCTTCCTTTTGTGGTATTGAACCTCATGGTAAAATTTCATAGAGATCCATTCACTTAAACTAAATAAAGTTAGAGTGCGAAAACCAATGTGTCTTCGGACGACGGCAACGTCATACCAATATACGATCGCAAAATTTTTTTGCGGTCGAATAAAAATAAAGCATCATGTCTGATATCATTGCACAGACAGACAGAGACTTTTTGTTTACATATGATTGTGTTCAGGGTTGGCAAAACCCTGGTTTTTGTCGAGCCTGCGACTTTTGTCTCGGAAAGTTCGTCATAGGGAAAGTGATCCGGCGGCGGCTACGGGTCTAGTATATTTGGTGTGTAGAAGGATTGTAAGGTGTACATGTCCAACAGGCAGGTGTCATCTGACCTTGACCTCATTTTCATGGTTCAGTGGTTATAGTTAAGTTTTTGTGTTTTGGTCCGTTTTTCTTATACTCTATGCAATAGGTCTACTATATTTGGTGTATGGAATGATTGTAAGGTGTACATGTCCAACTGGCAGGTGTCATCTGACTTTGACCTCATTTTCATGGTTCAGTGGTCAAAGTTAAGTTTTTGAGTTTTGGTCTTTTTTCTAATACTTATTTACTATATGCAATAAGTCAACTATATTTGGTGTATGGAAATATTTTATAATGTACATCATCACAGTACATGTCAGTCTCGCAGGTTTTATTTGACCTTGACCTCATTTTCACTGTTCATTGCTCATTGTTAAGTTTATGTTTTTCAGTCTGTTTTTCTTAAACTATAAGCAATAGGTCAATTATATTTGTTGTATGGAAGGATTGTAAGCTGTTCATGTCTGCCTGGCATGGTTCATCTGACCTTGATCTCATTTTCATGATTCATTGGTCAATGTTTAGTTTTCTTGGTTAAGTCTGTTTCTTAGAAACTATAAGCAATAGGTCAACTATATTTAGTGTATTGAATGATTGTAAGGTGTACATGTATTTTTCGTTTGGTTTATATGACCTTGACTTCATTTTCTTAGATCATGTTAATTTTATGTAATAGTTGTAGTAAAGCTTTCATTTAGGACTATCAACATAATATCAATGGTTAGTAAAGAAGGCGAGACATTTCAGCGTGTGCACTCTTGTATGAGTATTGCCCTGCAGCCCAGTGGGAAATACTGGGAAAACCCAGGTTTACTGGGTTTTAACGGGCAATACTGGGCAATACTGGGAAACATGAAATACTGGCCTGAATTGTAAAGAGGATTTAGTGATCAATCACAAATGCAATGTACATTAAAGATATTTATAAAAATAAGACATAGTATTTTGATTTATGAATAAGTTGACTTGTTTGAGTCTTATAATACAAACAAATGAACTATGTCGATTGGACCTGCTTTGATACTATAACACTATAACTGCCCTTGAATTTTTACTAGATAACATTTTTGTTTGCTATGGAGATTCCGTATATCGTCAGGTTATCGGAGTTCCCATGGGGACTAACTGTGCACCACTTATTGCGGACCTGTTTCTGTATTGTTATGAGTTACAATTTATGACTGAAACCAGCAAAGACCCATCGAAACAACATCTGATTCAAAAATTTAATAACACTTATAGATATTTAGATGATATATTGGCTCTCAATAATGACGACTTCAGTATGTACACTAAAGAGATATATCCTGCCGAACTGACTTTAAATAAAGCTAATACTAACAATGAACACTGCCCTTTCCTGGATCTTGATATTTATATCTTTAACAGGAAGCTTAATACCAAAATTTATGATAATAGAGATGATTTCATTTCCTATTGTTAATTATCCCTTGTCACCATCTTATGGTGTTTATATATCTCAACTTGTTCGATTCGCTCGTGTATGTAACAACGTATTTGATTTCAACGAAAGAAATATCTGTATTACTGAAAAATTATTACACCAGGGTTTTCGATATCACAAACTAGTCAAAATATTTACTAAATTTTATCATAAATATAATTCAACATGCAGACATCTTATACGTTCAGGTATTTCACTTCCAATATTTTATGGTAATATTCTTTACAAAGCACAAAAATGTAGGCATTCACCTCAAAAGCTAACCAAACCTTTAAACAGACTTATTCGGAAGGGATACTGTTATGATACTGTTGTCAGATCATTAAGGATTGCATAGTTTGGTATTAATATTGATTCACTCATAGGGTCTTTGCATTGGAAATAAACACATTTATTCTAAAACCAGTTGTTGGCATGATACGGGTTATGTTCTTTTCATATATTTTATGATGGTATGATACTAAACCCCTAACGGGAGGGATTGTACTTGATTTTCATATGATGAAGACATACTCTTTCAATCAGTTTACTTGAGGTCTGGAGCTGGCATGTCAGTAACTGCTAGTAGTCCTTTGTTAATTTATGTATCATTGTCATTTTGCTTAGTTTCTTTTGTTACCTATTCTGACATCGGACTCAGACTTCTTTTAAACTGAGTTTTACTGTGCGTTTTGCTATGTGTGTCTTTATTCTACATTGGCCAGAGATATAGGGGGAGGGTTGAGATCTCACAAAACATGTTTAATCCCGCTGCATTTTTGCACCTGTCCCAAGTCAGGAGCCTCTGGTCTTTGTTAGTCTTGTATGTTTTTTAATTTTAGTTCATTTATATGTTTTAAAGTTTAGTGTTACGTCCATTTACACTGAACTAGTACATAATTTTATTTAGGGGCCAGCTGAGGACCACCTCCAGGTGCTTGATTTTCTCGTTGAAGACCCATTGGTGGCCTTCGGTTGTTATCTGCTCTTTAGTCGGGTTGTTGTCTCTTTGACATATCCCCGATTTCCATTCTCAATTTTATTTTATAAATCTGAGAAAGTATTGTTCTAGCAACTCTGAGACAAGTGTACATGAAGACACATTAGACAAATGTAAAACTTTTCTAAATAATCCTCCTAAAAATCACCATTCTGTCTAGTTTGGTCAAACTGTTAACATAAAGCCTAAGAATTCAATTTGGTTTTTTTTCAAATATATATAATTTATATTTTGAATTAACAATTATATGTAAGGAAAATTACTTTTGAACAATTTCTGTTCATTGCTACAAATGTTTACTAAGATTGAGCATATTTATATGTACATCACTAATCAATAAGTAATTATTCAGATTAGAACACAGATTTGTTTATATAACAATATTCAGCCTTTTCATTTCTATAAGTGTTAATGACGTGTACCCTTAGGGTGTTTATTTAGCAATATGATTGTATAACAACTAAAATTTACAATTCGTTTAAACACTGCAATAAAATGCATTTTTCAAAGTTTTGATTATTGAAACAAAGCTTGGAAATTAACAAGGTATCCTAAAATGTGCAAATCTTGTATTCTGCCTATATATAGAATTAGTGGAGAAAAGGATGAAATTGAATTTTACATTATCTAGAAATGACTCTCAATGGTTATCTGTATAAAAACACCGCAAAGGACCTCCTTTGTGCACAAAGGACCACAAAGGAGTTTGATATGAGCACAAAGGACCTGAAATTCATTTCAAAACATAAAAATATCATAATTCATGAAGAAAAATGTAAAAAAAAAATCAATTTCAATAAAAATTGAGATTTTAATAATGTACGATTTTTAGTTATCACCGGTATGGGTTTGGATCCGACTTTATATCCGGGTTAAGTGATAGTTCGTGTATGTGAATTTTTAAATAGTTTAAATATATTAACATAAATGATAAAAATGTCAATTATTATTCTTGATATTTTAAAGCATTACCAAAACTTCGAAAATTATATAGGATAGCAATGTGTTGTTGTTGTTTTTTGTTGTCTCATATATCATCACTTTGTTTTCTTACGTATGATAATATTTTTAAGTGAAGTATAAGAATACTTGCATTATAACAAAAAAGTCACAACTTTATATTTCCAATTATGATTTATTAAGATAAAACAAACATGATAAATAAATACATATGATTTAACAATAACATTTAAAATTTTGGTTTTGTCCTCACTGCAGCTGTCCTTGGCAGGTGACGTTGACCAGGCTTCTTGGCGAGAGGTTTAACCTTCGGTATCGCAAAACCATTTGCCGCTCTTAACATTTTGTCACTAAACTCTTTGTCACTGGCAAGCTTTCTGTAAAGCACTTCTTTTTCAATTTGGGAAAGACTGTGCCATTTGGAATGTTGTATTCTGTGTTTCTTGAAATTTCCAAAAAGTTCATTATTGCCGTTGCCAATTATACTGCGTCTTAAATCTGTGTGGTGAAGTTGTATCACTTTGTAAAATGACACACAATAAACAATAGAGAACAATATTATAAGATATTATGGAACATGTTATGTTTATATGGTTTTGTCAGTTTTTTTTACTTATATGAGTTTGAATGTCCCTTTGGTATCCTTCGCCTCTCTTTTTTTTTATAAACAAATTTAACTATTGTTCATTTGCATTTCAGGAGCAGAATAATAGTTTTCGATTGGAAAGAATGAAAAAAGAGTTGGAAGGCTGGAAAGAAGTATTGTTGCCTCTGAATGGTCTTATGAACTGGGAAAAGCCATACCATCCACCAATCATTGTTGGTCTGAATACATTTGTGTTCTTGTAAGTTTATAATTCGGGTTGACTTGTAATTTTAGTTTCATTTCCAATTCTGGTCAGAAATCCAAGAAAAAATAGTTGACTTTTACACATGTCACATGAAACATTAATTATTTTGTGATTTAAATATGATTATAAAATATGAGACTATAACTTATAAATATAACTCATCACTGTTGAGCTCTTATCCAAATATGAAGTCGTTCTGTTTAGTAGTAATGGAGAAATGTGTGACAAAAAATTTTAAGTTAATTAAACTTATTGAAAAATTTAAGTACATGTATTGGCATACAGGAAGTACATGTATGTATCTGACAGATCCATAAAGTGCTCAGACTTTACAAGTCATTACTCTCAAGCTGCTGACCAAATAGCATGTCATTCTTTAGAATAGTTGCAGAGAAAAATGTCATGAAAAATTGTTATTGGACAACTGGAAGGACAACGTGATAGCATGTGTTGTAAGATTATCATTCAGGTAGTGTAATAAACGCCAAATTAAGATGTAATTTTTATTTGATTACACCTTGACCTGGGTATTTTAACTGTTATTTAAAAATGTACAATGCATTGCCACTTTCCTGTATTTTCAGTCTGATTTGGTATTTTCAACCATCCATTTTGACAACCTTTTCGTTGATTGGATTGGCCATAATTCTGATAGACTTCCTAGTTCCTATGGTTGGTCCAACTTTGATGTCATCTAAATGGTAAGTACAGTATATACAAGGTGAGTTTCATCAGACACAAATTTCATCAACACTTACAGAACTATTTCTCCTGTGTAGGAATTCATACTTGTGATGTGATGAAACAGGTTTATACATTTATAACATGTTTGGTTGCCATGCCATCATTGAAATAAAGACAACATATAACATTGGAATTATGAATGGTCAGTGCAGCAAATATGGCTGACTTGCTGTAAATTATTATTTTATTTATAATTTTTACTCATTTTAGCTATATGCTTGCTCCATAAGTACACAAGCAGTCTTAGTAGTTGTCGTTTGTTTCTGTGTATCATATTTGTTTTATGTTCATTATTTTGTATATGAATTAGGCCCTTAGTTTTCTCGTTTGAATCGTTTTATATTTGTCATTTCTGTGCTTTTTAAGCTAACTATGCGGTATGGGTTTTGCTCATTGTTGAAGGCCGTACGGTGAACTATAGTTGTTAATATCTGTGTCATTTGGTTTCTCGTGGAAAGTTGTCTCGTTGGCAATTATACCACATCTTATTTTTATATTGGACAAGCAATACAAGGGTTGAATTATTACTTCATATATTTGTTTATGAGAAAGCACTTAATTAAGATTTACTAGGTATAAATACTATTCAAAAAGACACAAATACCTACTCTCTCACATACATAATAATTCAAAAAAACTAAAAATTGCTTTAATTTGAAAAAAAAATGCATCAGATTATTCCAAAATGCATGTTACCAGGGTGCAATTACCATTTGGTAAGTTGTCCTTCAAAATTTATAACTGTAATCATAATGATAAGTATAAATTATTTGAATTAACAACAGGACTGGAAGAGAAGAAAGGCAGTATGAAGATATTTGTGTCCGTATGTTGAATGCCAAAACTCATTTTGGTAATTTCTACGAAGCTATGGTAGAGCTGAAAACCAACAGGCCTAAAATGGTAAGTCATGTAGATCAAAATGTTACCTTAAATTCCTATGTATGTTGATGATAGAAAAAAACTTTTTAAAAGCACAAAACATAATATGAGAAAATAATAAATCAAATAGTTGTCATTACAAGGGTTTTAACTGATTTCCCAAGAGAACAATTTTATAACAGATGACATTAAGCCGCTTACCCTATGGATTGCCCGTCTTATTCCTTTGGAGTTCATGTCATTCCCTCAGTTGTTTTCTTTTGATTAATATAATCTTCACGTTGCTAAATAGATATGAAAATAACACCAAACTATATATATATATCTACTGTTGTCTCTTGGTAGAAAATGTTTTTCTGGTTTGAGAATATTTTAGTTTCTTGATTATCATAAAGTTAATAAGTGGAAACTGTACATTTGTTCAATTAGCAGCAAAATCTTGCGAAATTTCACCCATAAAAAAATGATTTTATAGTTACAGTCGAACTTGAAGAATATATATATATATATTTGTTTTGCTTCTGTTTCAGTATTTTATTGTTATTATGGGAACACTAATTTCGTTTGCCTGGATTGGATGTAAAATGGATAATTTGTTAATGACTTATTTTCTCTGTAAGTATGTGTAAAAGAGAGGGGGAGGATACCAAAGTGTATTCAATCTCATAAGTCAATGACAAACTGGTAATGCCATGACAATTTAATAACAAAAAACAACCAAAATACAAACCACAGTATACAAAACACAACATTGAAAACTAAAGACTGAGCAACTCCACCATAAACTTGGGGTGGGTGGGGTGATCTCAGGTGTTCTGGAAGGATAAGCAGATCCTGCTCAATTATGTTATATACACATTTTGTTTCTTTTGTAAGTAGGGAAAACCATGTATATGGAATTTAAAAGTCAAGTACTCTATACAAATATGTGTACTCATTTTTTGGAAAAATTGCAATTTATCTGGGTATAACCAAGTTTATAGTATAAGAAATGAGTATATTACTTATTTGACAACATTATACTAGCTCTGCTATCAAATACAATATACAGTGGATTCTCTGTAAGTCAAAGTCAAAGGGACCTGTCCGAGGCCGCCAGTTCATCTGACATGTTGTACCTTTCATTGCAGTATTAAAAAATTATTTATTTCTTAAATAATGAGACTGAATAGACAGTTCACATATGACGTTTACAAAGATAAGGAAAAATAAAATAAGGAAGCACTTGTGAAATGAAACAAATTGTTACAGATGTATAATTGTTCAACTTTCTCCTTAATGTCTACCTGCTGAGGATAAGTCTTAATCTTTTAACAAAAGTTTGATCAGTTTAATGATATGTTTCATTATTCCTTTATGAATTTCTCAGCTTGGGTCTATTATTTCATTTCATAATAACTGAGATAAAACGCATGGTCAAACAATGAAGTTGTTGACAAACAATGTAATATGCTAATCAGATTGTGATACACACAAGTGATTGACTTAGAACTAATCAGGGATCCTTGGAATTAAATATACACCACAGAAGCCAAGAGTAACTTGAAAAAAATTGTGTTTCAAATCTGTGAGAGAAAAATGTCTCATACTGTGGTTTCATTATTATTCGTTGGATACCAATTTTTGTTGATTTTTTTTATAAAAGTAAACCACATTGAATGTTAAACTAAGTATAAATTTTCTTAGAAGCTTATATTATGTATAAGTGTTGTTTATTGATGACACATCATAGTTTGCATGTGTGTAGCAAATGTTTGGTACTGACATGCCTCTGGCTGCATGATCACTCCTTATTTGGTTATAAGGCAAAGGAGTGATACATACCCTTCTCAAATTTCCCCAGGATGCTAGGTAGTTGTTCATTTTGAGTTTTGCTGCTGACAGGGAAAGTCATACATTAGTTATCATAAAGTTACAAAATATTCAAGTATAATATTAACTAGGTGTTAATATCCATATGTTATTGCAATATTCAGTTTTTTTTGGACTTTTGTGTTTATCTTCATATATGTGAGTACGAACTAAAAGAAACTTTCGACATTGGACTTTTGGGATTATCTTACTAAAAGAAACTTTGTGTTTTAACATTGCTATATTTAACATTCACTTTTACTTAGCAATTTCAAAGAACATTTTAGTAACTGTTACAAAGATATTGAACTTTCAATAATTATGGCTTCCAGAAGAAATTCAAGAAATCAACCGTATTCAAATAGACATTTGGACTTAAATAATCCAGACAATTGGACGTCACAGCAACTTAGGATAAAACTGCAGCAGTTGGGGATTATTGTACCCAAAAATGTTGCTAAAACCGTTCTTAAACAATTTTATTTAGAAAATAAAGATCGCCAAAATAGTAACGGTAATATCGCCCAGAACGATGAACATATTAGTGATCCAGAACATGTCGTGCTGAATCCTATAGCACAACACTCCGGGAGTGCCTCAGACAGTACCGCGAATGATACCGACGGATTGCGTCATCCAACAGCTGATGAAAGTAGTTCGCGGAGCGATGTCAACGATTCAACCGGAAGTGCGCAGTTCGACAGCGTCGGTGGCAACAACATGGCTGCCATTATCCAATCTTTCAGTATAGTGTCGCAGTCTGTAGCACAATGCGCGTCAGGTCTCCAACAGACAGTCAGCCTTATCGCCAACCAAAAAAGTACAGAAAGCGGTCCTGCAAAGAAATTTGATCTAGCGCAGTGGTACCAGAATAGAAATATGGAGGACGTACCACTAGCCGTGCACGGATCCGTACAGAACCGCCCAACACTGCCACTGTCAACAACACCATCTCTTGGATATTTATCCACAACTCTGTGCCCTACAGCTGGAGTCCGATCTGATGCATTCTCAAATGTGGATATTGTGTCTCCATCATTACAAAGGAGCATTATTGAGGGTAAGGATGTAAACTTAGGCGCTCTCCTTATTCCCAATTTTGAGTCTCCTGTAAACCATTCCATAATTGCAGACGGGGTGCATGTCAATTTAGCAAATAAAGCAGACCCAAGATTAAACAGGCTTCTATCAATCCAAGAGTTTATTCAAGCTTTTGGAAAATTCAAAAGAATTATGTGTGGTGCCTACCCAGACCGTCGGGATGAATTAGATGCCTATGAAGCTGACATTATTAACATTAATAATTTCTATGGCCCAAAATTTTATGACTATCATAAAATTTTTACAGCAAAGGCAGCAGCACTTCTGAGGGAAAGGCATGTTAAGGTTGATTGGAGCCTTCGTGATCGTGACATCCTTTCTTTGATAACAGCGGGATCCTCAGTAAACGTGTGTAAAATCTGTAATTTAATTGATCATGCTACACAATACTGCCCATTGCAATCATCAGTCCAGGTTGAAAATTCCTCTTCAAGATCATATTCATCTAGCAACCTACAATCCGTAGACAAGCAAGGTCGTTCAAGAGTATTTCATGAAGGTCTGGAAATGTGCAATAATTTCAATAATCCTAAAGGTTGTTATAGGAAAGTTTGTTATCTCCTCCACAAGTGTACAAAATGTCGTGCAACAGGCCATGGTGCCTCAACCTGTAGGAAATCCAATAGCAATGTGCCTGTTCATTCTTCAACATCTTCAGTGTCCTCCAAGGGAAATAAATTGGAGAAACCAAATTCAGGATGACTATCCAAGGAAAAGTTCTTTTGTGAAGCTTCAACACCAGTAAATGTTGATAAATTAGAGGAAGAGTTATCATCACATCCTGATAAAAATTTTGTATTATATCTATGTAATGGTCTGAGACAAGGTTTTGATTGTTTAGTTCAAGGGGAAATTTCAGAATCTAAAGAGTGTAAAAATAATTTTTCTGCAAGGTCTCAGGTTTTAGTTGTATCAGAGTTAATTAAAACTGAATGCCAAAAAGGCTTTGTACATGGACCTTTTCAGTCCTTACCTTTTGCCAATTATAGAGTGAGTCCACTGGGTGTTGCTGAAGGAAAATACTCTGGGAAGAAACGTTTGATTTTAGATCTTTCATCTCCACATGACAATGACAGTTTTCTAAGTATTAATGATATGATTGATAAAGAAGAATGTTCCATGTCTTATGTTAAAATTGATGACGCTATAAGAATTATTCTAAAATTAGGAAGGAACAGTACACTATGTAAATATGACATATCCGACGCGTTCAAAATTTGTCCTTAATTGCCATCCCAGTGGCCTTTATTTTGTTTCAAATGGCAGTCTTTTTATTATTATTATGTAAGATTAACTTTTGGCTGCCGGTCTAGTCCTAAAATTTTTGACACAGTGTCACAGGCAATTTGCCATATTGCAGAGAAAAATTATAAGATTAAGAACATTTTACATCTACTTGATGATTTTCTTACTATTGATCACCCAAGTGAAGATGGTGAAAGAAGCATGGCTATAATGATGACCATTTTTAAACGTTTAAATATTCCAATAGCCAAACACAAGACTGAAGGACCAGTTACTTGTCTAGAGTATTTAGGTATTATTTTAGATTCAAACAAAATGGAAGCAAGACTTCCAAATATTAAAGTACAGAGAATATGTGAGTTTATTTCCAAATTGTTGTCAAAATCATCTTGTACAAAGAGACAGTTATTACAGTTGTTAGGACATTTTAATTTTGCCACAAGAGTTATTTTACCTGGCAGATCTTTTTTGTCGTACCTAATTAATTTGTCAACTACTGTTAAACATTTAAATGAATTTGTACATTTAACTAAAGAATGTAAGGTAGATTTAGAATTTTGGTTGAGATTTTTGTCAAACTGGAATGGCATCACTATGTTTCATGATTGTTATTTTACATCCAGTTATGACTTTGAATTATATACAGATGCTGCTTCTACAATAGGCTTTGGGGGATATTTTCAAGGCAAATGGTTCTCTTCATATTGGCCTGTTAATTTACCTACTTTAACTGACAATTTGTCAATGGCTTTCCTTGAGTTATACCCTATTATAGTAGCAGCATTGTTATGGGGTCACCTCTGGACCTGTAAAAAGATATTATTTTGGTGTGATAATGAAGCTACTGTTGCTATTGTCAGAAAGGGACGCTCTAAATGTTTAGAAATCATGAAACTTATGCGTCAACTAACATGGTGTGCAGCTAAGTTTAATTTTCATTTTAGTGCTAAACATGTACCTGGTCATATTAACCAAATTTCTGATGCTTTGTCTCGTTTTCAGATGACTCGCTTCCGAAAACTGGCTCCACAGGCAGAGCAGCACCCTCATATATGCCCAAGTGTGTCAGAAGTAATGTGGTCTTAACAAACACAGTCAACACACTATGGTCTAATGCAGTAGCTATGAGGACAAGAGCTGTTTATGAAACAGGATATAACCATTTCAAAACATTTTTACTTTTAAATGGGGTCAACCTGAATGGGAACAAATTACCTCCCATTTCTGAAGAACTTTTAATTTATTTTGTTGGTCATTGTTTTCAAATTCTGAAGTTACAATATTCTACTATTAAGCTGTATATTTGTGGTATTAGATACATGTGCCTCAAGGACGATATTCCCTCTCCCTTTCAATCATCAGACAGAGACCACAAATCAATGGTTCGACTCTCTTTATTTCTAAAGTCGGTTAAACGTTCACAAAAACAGTCAGTCAGGCCAAGATTTCCAATTACTTCTGACATACTAAAGCAAATGTGTGTTAAACTGAAGAGAGGTTTTTTTTCAGAATTTATAGACTTAATGTTTGAAACTGTTTGTATTGTAGCATTTCATGGTTTTTTACGTTGTGGTGAATTTACTGTAGATAATGCATCTAACTTTGATTCAGAATCTAATTTATGTGTTTCTGATGTTACATTTTATGAAGATTTTGCAATTCTTCACCTAAAGCAGTCAAAAACAGATCCTTTTAGGAAAGGCATTGATATACAATTGCATAGGCTAAATAATATCCTATGCCCTTATACAACTTTAAAGAACTACTTACAATTAAGATCAGTTAAAGGAAAATGTGCACTTTCAGATCCATTGTTCATTAATGAAAATCTTTCAGCTTTAGAAAGAAAATATTTTATTACAAATTTAAAAATTTTATTAGAAGCCTGTGGATACCAAGCCGCCCTATATAATGGACATTCTTTTCGTATAGGTGCAGCAACCAGTGCTGGTAAAGCTAATATTGAAGATCACTTAATTAAAACATTAGGTAGATGGAGTTCTGATAGTTACTGTCGATATGTTAGGACAGAGAAATCTTCTATTAAGAACGCACAGCAACAAATTTGTAACAGTTAAAATTTGTACAGTTATTATGTATATTATGTATGTATATATATATATAAATCTAGGTAGCACTAAGATTACATGTTAACTCTTACACATTCTATTTTCATGAATTAGTCAGTTGTGTGTTATATCATTAAACTATGTACAGCTTAAATTGTGTTTAATAGAATTCCACAGTGTGTAGTTGAAGGTTTCATTCCTTAAAACCCAATTTTTCCCATTTATTACCTTGGGGGTCACTCAGCTGTTTCACACCTGACTTTTTGGACCCTTTCGAAATTGACCACTGGTCTAATTTCTCATTTCCCCCAAGTCATTAAATGTAATACATCTACATTTATTTCTCTCTCCACCGTCAATCTAACCCCCTTTTATCGTAGCCACCTGCTATGAGATGGAGCAACGCTTCATCCCCTTATAGGAACTCATCTGGTTCCGGTTGGTTGACGGAGTGTCCATGTCCATGGGGCTTGGTCCATCTATACCAAGTGTCGTCGACAGGGCCTGGAGCTAAATTTCCCTTTGCTGAGTACTTGACTCCCAAGGGCCAAATTATTTATATATTTTATTAATAAAAAATAGAAATTAAATAATCTTGTTGTCAGCAGCAAACTCATTGATATACTATTTGGTTATACTGGATTGTCTGTTTCAATCTTATAGGAATGTCCAAGTCTGAAGGTCTCGTTTATTGTCAAGGTTGTCAACACTGCAGGAGTATGTTAAGAAATAAGTTACAAATACTGGGTATAAAAGAATACCAGAGAACACCTAAACAAGAGAGCTACAAATACAGGGTATAAAAGAATACCAGAGAACACCTAAACAAGAGAGCTACAAATACAGGGTATAAAAGAATACCAGAGAACACCTAAACAAGAGAGCTACAAATACAGGGTATAAAAGAATACCAGAGAACACCTAAACAAGAGAGCTACAAATACAGGGTATAAAAGAATACCAGAGGACACCTAAACAAGAGAGCTACAAATACAGGGTATAAAAGAATACCAGAGAACACCTAAACAAGAGAGCTACAAATACAGGGTATAAAAGAATCACCAAGATCACCTTTAAAAAGAGGAGTTCTAACAAAGTCACAGTTTACTTAATCATGAGGAACACCTAAACAAGAATCAACTAGCTAAACAAGGTACATGAATCATTATCGATAAACCACAGAAAATAGAATACAGACTTAACAATGAATAAAGTCATTACTTGCTGCATCCGTCGTATCGTCAATGTCATAGTTGCTACTGTTAAGTTATGGATTTCAGCCCTTCTGTCATATACCTAAGTCCCTGGAGTCATAGAATAAATAGAAGCTTATATTATGTATAAGTGTTGTTTATTGATGACACATCATAGTTTGCATGTGTGTAGCAAATGTTTGGTACTGACATGCCTCTGGCTGCATGATCACTCCTTATTTGGTTATAAGGCAAAGGAGTGATACATACCCTTCTCAAATTTCCCCAGGATGCTAGGTAGTTGTTCATTTTGAGTTTTGCTGCTGACAGGGAAAGTCATACATTAGTTATCATAAAGTTACAAAATACCCACCCACCTCCCTTTAATCACCTTCAACTACTCACTGTATATGGGAGCAGTCTCAGCAAACCAGTGGTTTTCTTCAATTTCAAAACTCCCTTTCGAAATTGACCACTGGTCTAATTTCTCATTTCCCCCAAGTCATTAAATGTAATACATCTACATTTATTTCTCTCTCCACCCTCAATCTAACCCCCTTTTATCGTAGCCACCTGCTATGAGATGGAGCAACGCTTCATCCCCTTATAGGAACTCATCTGGTTCCGGTTGGTTGACGGAGTGTCCATGTCCATGGGGCTTGGTCCATCTATACCAAGTGTCCTCGACAGGGCCTGGAGCTAAATTTCCCTTTGCTGAGTACTTGACTCCCAAGGGCCAAATTATTTATATATTTTATTAATAAAAAATAGAAATTAAATAATCTTGTTGTCAGCAGCAAACTCATTGATATACTATTTGGTTATACTGGATTGTCTGTTTCAATCTTATAGGAATGTCCAAGTCTGAAGGTCTCGTTTATTGTCAAGGTTGTCAACACTGCAGGAGTATGTTAAGAAATAAGTTACAAATACTGGGTATAAAAGAATACCAGAGAACACCTAAACAAGAGAGCTACAAATACAGGGTATAAAAGAATACCAGAGAACACCTAAACAAGAGAGCTACAAATACAGGGTATAAAAGAATCACCAAGATCACCTTTAAAAAGAGGAGTTCTAACAAAGTCACAGTTTACTTAATCATGAGGAACACCTAAACAAGAATCAACTAGCTAAACAAGGTACATGAATCATTATCGATAAACCACAGAAAATAGAATACAGACTTAACAATGAATAAAGTCATTACTTGCTGCATCCGTCGTATCGTCAATGTCATAGTTGCTACTGTTAAGTTATGGATTTCAGCCCTTCTGTCATATACCTAAGTCCCTGGAGTCATAGAATAAAAATGGCTTTTATGCAGATAAAACCTGAAAAAAAAATCAAATATCCCCGAAAATACAATTTTTCTTCAATCCTCGAAAAATTGGTACCCCCGAAAATAAATGAATCCTTTACTGTATTTCCTGTGTCAAGAAATTTTTATATTTTCATTTCCACCTGTGTTTATAAGTTGGATAATTGACAATACTATATTTAAATGCCTGTTGCTTGGATTTTTTCAGGAGCATTTGATATGTTTGTTGTAATACACACCATAAAATATTATGAAGCAGTAATGTCGTTGGTCCGTTCTGAATCATCTATCTAATATTTAAATATGTTGTCTAATTCCAGTGAATTTAATTATGCTTGTACCTGGTATCAGAAGGAATGGAATACTGCAGAAATACTTTGGAAGACTGGGTAATGCCATCAAGTCACTGATACAGGGCAGAGTCAAGAAATTGAAGTCCAACTAGTGTTCAGCATTTCCAAACATTTCCATTTATTCTAAGTCCCAAACTTTTGTATATTTGATATATTTCTTATGTAGGTAGCTTATGTGTGTAGTGTCGATTTTTGATGATTTTGATTTTTTTAGAATAGTGAATTGTATTTAATGGGGCTGTTGTAGTAATTATATTTAAATGTGACAAAAAAATAATTAGCTGAGTTTTTCTTGTCCACTCAAAGAAGATAGAGGGTTTTTTCATGGACTACCAGTACATTTACATTTTTGCGAGGACATATGTTTTTTTCAAAATATGGGGCTTTATGTACTGTCATTAGGAAGATAAAGAAAGGAGTGGTCTTTGGGAAAGTGGAAATAGATAAAAACCTTAGTCAAACTAATTTTAGACTAGGATAAAAAAAAAAATATAGATTAGTACAGTAATTCTATGGATATATCAACTTTTAGTCCAGAAACTAGGGCATATTTTAAAATCATACTATGAAGTTTTTTTCTATATTTACTTGATACAAACTATTTTGTAAGACCTTTTTTGAAAGAAGCCTTGATGCATAATAAAAGTTGTTTTATAATTGTTCAAGGCTTAGATTTAAAGAAAAAATGTTCTTAAAATATAACATTATACTAAAACTTGTATATATATATCAATTTGGTCTCAATTAATTATTTTCTGTTCACTGAAATGTCAACTGTACATTTCGACATCGTATTAGAAAAAACACACCTTTTTGTATGGACTTATTAGATATCATTATTTATTTTCATAAATTGTTGTTAAACATTATGAAAAAAAAAACATTCAATGAAATTTGAGTTACTTTTTTCCAGAAGAAAAAGATTTTTATTTCATAATTAAAGTAGTAGTAAAGTATATTCTTTCTTGAAATTTATGATAATGTATATTGCTGATTAGATGTTGTGTAATTTGTATATTTTTTAACCGTAAACATACAACTTTAAAAAGGTTACACTTAATTTAGGTTGGGTATATGATACTTTTAAACACTAGTATAGAAAAGAAAAGAAAAATGAATAAAAATCAATCTGCTACATATTGCAGGCAAATTAACTCTTTTTTTTTTAAACTTTTGGAAATTAGAATTGAACAAAAAATATCCAAGTAATGTTTAATCAAATTAGGAAATTAAATTCTAAATCAACCATTTTTGAATTAAATTTATAGCCAAATCATGCTATCTTCTTTTGTTATAAATTTTAATTTTACTCCTTAATTATTTCACCTCTTTTTGTCCTCCAAAAATTAAAAGAGTGAACATTAATTTGGTGTGGTGTTGAACATACTGTATATGATTATAGCTTTAATTATGATACCTCAGTATTGTTTTTTATTTTCTTTATAAAATTATAGACTCATACATTTACTATTTTTTGAAATTATCTGAAAAAGACTTTTTACCGATAGTTTCAAAAACTATTTACTGGGTATGAACTTTTTACTGGATACAAACAATTTCCCATATTTTCTGTTAAATATAACAATTATTTACTGGTTATTTGGACAATAGCAAGTTTATTGTCCCCCTCTTCACCAACTATTTCCCTCTGCATTGCGTTTAAACATAGTTATTGTTTCTGGGGAAAATAAACTTGTCCTCATAACCAGTAAATAAGTGTAAAATTGAGAATGGAAATGGGGAATTTGTCAAAGAGACAACAACCGGACCATAGAACAGACAACAGCAGAAGGTCACCAACAGGTCTTCAATGCAGCGAGAAATTCCCGCACCCGGAGGCGTCCTTCAGCTGGCCCCTAAACAAATATATATACTAGTTCAGTGATAATGAACGCCATACTAAACTCCAAATTGTACACAAGAAACTAAAAAACTAGACTATTTATGTATAATTTTGTTTAGGAAATATGTTCTTACCTAGAAAAACAAGTCCCACATTTGTTCTAAAGATTAGAAATGTCAGTAATATTTTTTAAATAGGAATTTTTAATGCTATTTGCTATTTTATTTTATTATCAAAGGTGGTTACTATGTGAGCAAAATTTAAATCTATAGATATCTGAAAAGAATCTTTCTTAAATTAGAGAATTGAATGTTTATTTTGATGTAATTTTTTTGAGCCCTAACTTGAATACAATAATGTCTTTTCTTCACATAGCTAATCAATAATTTCAAGCAATAATTTTAAATGCTTTTTGTGCCAAATGTACATATATGTCATAAAAATTTCTGTTTTTGCTTCACAATCAGCTTATTTTTACATTAGTGCCTTAAATTCTTCTGCCTAAATAAAAGAACCCATTTACTGATTAAAATCATACTATCTCAGAGATAACATGACAGGTAAGTAATTATTACATTATGTGTTCAGTGTAATAATTTCAAATTTAGTCGGTGGCATGGTTTTGGTATAATCAAAGGAGAAAGCAATTTTTTAGCCCCTTGAATTCTAAAATCAAAAAGTATTATGTGAATCTATGAAAAAATGAAATTGGATGTTCATAAGAACTTAGTCTGTCAGATAGTAGTATTTATATTTTTATGCCCCACCTAGGGGCATTATGTTTTTCGGTCTGTGCATCCGTTCGTCTGTCTGTCCCGCTTCGGGTTAAAGTTTTTGGTCAAGGTAGTTTTTGATGAAGTTGAAGTCCAATCAAATTGAAACTTAGTACACATGTTCCCTATGATATGATCTTTCTAAATTTAATGCCAAATTAGAGTATTTACCCCATTTTCACGGTCGACTGAACATAGAAAATGATAGTGCGAGTGGGGCATCCGTGTATTATGGACACATTCTTGTTTAACTATGCCTTGCAAAGTCGTTTAGAGGTTTTAATTTCTTGCATTTCATGTAAACCTGCAAAAACTGCCAAAATAGCCTCAATTTGAGACATCATTAATAGTAAGATATGAAGTAAAGCCATACTTAAAAATATAGTTTGCTACAAGAGGTCATAAATAATAATGTGGGTAAAATCTCTTTTTTGGCACCTTGTCTCATATCTGTTTTTGCCAAAAATGTTTGTAAAATGTGCATTTGAGGTTAAATATGATAATTTCATCATTCTTGTGACATCATTGTGAAATCACAAATGACATTTCTGCACTTAATAAGTGAATTATCAAGATTATATCGTTCTTGAAGAAATTTATGATATGTGCATAGTTTTTTAAAGTCTTGAAGAAATTGATAATTTATGCAATTCCATGGACCAGAACATGGCTAATACCTACTTCATTGACTAAATCTGTCAGTTAAAATTAAGCACCAGAACAAGTATTTGATGATAACTACTTTTGGCAAGTAATCAAATGTGTAATTACTATTATCAGTAGCAGCATTATTTTACAAGCATTATATGAGGCTCTGGAAAGGGTTTACAGAAAAGAGAATAATGAGCCAAATACAAAAAAAATAAAATAGGGAAAATGAGCCAAAAAAATAAAGAGAATAATTTGGTGGTAATATATAAAGAATATAGAAGCCTTAAAAAAAAGAATACAGACATGAAGACACCCATCCAGACACTCATATATATATGTGTGTGTGTATTCAAATGATGTTTAATGTGCTTCATATTTAGATTTTGTTAAGTTTTATATGTTATTTATCCATATAAATGATATTTTGTTTTTTATATATTTTTCTCCTGATTTATTATAATTATATGTAAATGAATGAGAAGTAAGTTTCACTTATTTATTGTACATTTTATGCCTGCTGTAGTAGTTAATATTATTTTCATGTATGATTCAGAAGATTCGATCATTAATTTATTTTTTACAACATAAACTGTTCATGTGTTAACCCTTTTTCTAGCAAGCGATCAGTTTTAGTTAGATTGTTAAGTCGTAAGAGAAGTTTTTTTTGAGAAAATATAAAAGATAAATTACAAAAACTTAAATACAAAAAAAGAATAAAAGCTAAAAAACATGAACTGGCAGACCAATATTTCGACTTATAAGGTCTTTCTCAAGGGATGTTGAAAATTGGAAAAAAATATCCAGATCAATTATAAGTGTATTTTAATAACAATAAAATGAGATAAAAAAATCACTAATTATGCACAAGTTTTCTATCAGAAGTAATTATATAGGTGTGGGTGCCAACTACTCATATGGCTTTGTTTCTAAACACTTCAGATCAATAGTAAAGTACAGTACTATCCACCAAATTTCTTTGAATTTTTCAGATAATTATTTTACCACAATCCAACTTGGAGCTTTGGTGGCATAAAACATGAGAAATATGTGTAGGAACCATTATCTTCTTAAAACTTTATTTAGAATGAAATAAAATATACCTTAAGATAGTAGATATGGGTTAAGGAAATAATAATCCTTTAGAACAGAAACAATATAATCAGTGTTACTTAGAAGTATGTTTAGTTGACACAAATGTTTTAGTGGTTTTAAAGAGTTATGTCCCTTAGTGTAGGGGTTACTGCTTTAAAAATAGTAATGGTTTTTCAATCTGATTTTGTAAAAAAATCCCAGTTTACCCCCATTTAGTGAAATTGCACTGTATTTATTGATATTTATTGTTGTAAATTTGTACTTTTTTTCTTGCCATCAATTTATTATTTTTACATCATTACAAACATTTTTTAGAGATTTGTATAATAATTCTTTATATGTTTGAAAGATGTATGAAAGATTCTACATTTTTGATATTTTGATCTTTTTAAGAGTTTTGTAAGTAACAGTCATAAAATGTACAACTGCTATTTTGATTACCCTCTTGGTACTTTCAACAATTTTTTAAGATTGGTTTGATACACTTTCTAAAAGCTGATGAACATTATCGACTGGTTAGAATGTCAATACACAAAATAAGGTTAAGTTTTAAGTCAAGTTTATGGTAGTTAAGTGAGATTCCAAAGTCAAATTACACTTGGACTTAAGCACAAATTAATCAAGTCATCATTACTACCGGCATTTAAAATCCTCAGTAATAGGTTCAAAGATAATGTGATCTTGATTTCATTATTAAGTGATCTTGTTTAGTTTAGGTTTCAGTGAGTGCAGAATTAATTATGATATCAAAATTACTTACCACAGGCTTCTCTAAACCTGACACATGATCACTAAGGACCTGATACAAGGTCCATTGGGCACAGTATACTCTAGGAAGATTTATTACCTGTAGCAGTGTAATGAGTGTTAAGCTTTGGGAATTTGCAACTTAACTTTATCATTTGGTGCAGCTTAAGAAATTAGCATAATTGTAGTGGTGCTAACATAGTGATTATTTATCAACATTAAATTATAAAATTACATTTAAATCATTAAAGGTTTGCTAGAGCTTGGGTAATCAGAATGCATTTCATATTTTTTGCAAATACTGTAATACATCCAGTTCATTTTTGCTGATAAATTTTTGCATTTAACCCTATGTAGCCGACATCATAATTTATTTACTGTGTATCATTATTATTCGTTGGATACCAATTTTCGTGGATTTCGTTGGTACAGGTGAATCACGAAATTAAATGCTCAACGAATAACAAAATTTCTATAGGCTTGAATGAAGACTTCGGAAAAACCACAAAATAAAATATCCGTGAACATGTAAGTTTTCCTTAATCCACGAAAATTGGTACCCACGAAAATTGGTACCCACGAAAATAAGTGAATCCACAGTATGGGATTATCAAACTTTGTTTTCATGATATATCCCTAATTATTTATGTTTTTGCAAAAGTTGAATAAAAAATCACTTTCGGTTATATGTTGGTTTTCGTAAAACGTATGTTTTGTTCTGTTGCCTTTATACTAAGATATGCAAATTATAAAAAATTTCAAAGAAAATAAATCAATAGAAGACTTGTAATACTCAGTGTGCCATGAATAAATTTTTGTTTTAGCTAGTTACTTGTTCTCTATTTTTTGCAGAAAGGAAGGAACATCAATTTTCAGTGTATGATATTGTTAGTATTGTTCACTTGGCTTTGGCAAGAATAAATTATGGAAGGTCCTTCATTAGAAATAGTGACATAAATGTTATTAAAATTACAATCATTATAGGATTGATGATTGAACCCTCATTAATCTTGATCAAGTGGCAAAAATGGCGGAACATAGTTCCCATTGAAACTCTATGGGAAATAATATTTTCATATTCTTATCTGAAACTAATCTGCCAATTTTAATGAAACTTTGTAGGAATGATTTATAGAATGTCTCCATTTGTTCTGATCAGATGAAACATGAAGCTAGAGACAATCAGATTCTAATTGGCCATTGGGTCAACGTTAAATAAGGATCATATATAGGGGTCTCCCAATCATCAATTCTGTAAAGCTTGAATCTAATTGGCCAGTTTCAACAACAATCTTCTCCTCTGAAACTACAAGGCAATATGCTTTTAAGCTTTAGAGGATTAGTGATGACCCTCTGTATGAGATCATCATGTAATGTTGATTGGAATGCAAACATTACAATTTGGAGTCTCATAATTCAATTAAGTCATATAGGAAACTGCAACTTTATCATCTTATCTGCCAGGTCAAATTTGAATAAAATTAAAGAAGGGCAACAACAAATGATAATTTTTGGTTGTATGCAATCGAAATCCTAATGTGGCTGGCTTGATGTTAGTATTTATCAATTTTCACAACTTTTGAGATGAACGGAAAATCTATACCCAGATGTTTAAGTTACAAAATGATGTGTTTGCGTATAACCATACTTTTCAAGAAAATTACATATATTGTGCATTGTGCATGAATATAGTATCTGTTCTTAAAATGTAAGAAATGTCATTGTTAAAGAAGTAATATTTTTAATTAGAGTTATCTTCCTTTATTGCCTTTCCTGGCTGGATAGTTATCAATTTTCCAGACTTTATCCACAGACTAAGTGACGTGGAAGTTAACTACTATATGTCACCATACAGCCTTCAACAATGAGGAAAACCCATAAGCATAGCAAGCCATAAAAGGCACCAACATAACAAAAAGTAAAACAAATCTAATGAGAAAACTATAATGGCCTGATTTATATACAAAACAACAAATGAAATGCAAACATGATATACAACAACATACGACAACCACTGATTTACAGGGTCCTGACTTGGGATATGCACATACAGAATGTGGTGTGGTTAAACATGTTTGGGGGTGCCCAAACCCTCCCCCTAATTTCGGAGAATGAAAACAAGAACAAAAGTCAAAAAGTTTGAATAGCAAAAAACTTTTGAAAGCATAACAACCCAAATTATCTAAAAAGATCGACCAAAGCTGTTACAATTAGGTGTAATAGTTGTCTCATATCTAGTAATGATAGATAAAGATACATTTTATTACCAATAAAGGACCCATTATGGGCAAAATCAGTACAATGATTAGAATTTTATACATTTACAACATACACAATACAAGAGGAAAAACAGCCCAAATGTTAAATACAACACGAATTAATAATGTAACCATTAATGTCCAGTGTTTGTTGACCATGCAACAGAAGCAGCATCATATCTATTTTGAAAAAAAAGCTTTTTTTGCAGTTAAATACTCATCGTAGCTGATGCAGATGAACTTATATTATAGTTCTCCAAATGCAGAAGTCACCAAGGGTATGCGCATGTGCTTAAAGGAGACCCAACCCAATAAATATAGAAAAGAACAGTTAAGCACTTTACAATGCATTCATAAACTAATGTTCAAACATTTATTGTCTATTCCTGTTCGTGGCTGATGCACATGGACAAGAATACTAAACAGTTATCAAAATGCAATAGTCAACGAGGGCATGTGGTAAAAAACATTCTAAGAAGTAATGTAAAAATTAAGTGCACGATAACCCAGTGCTGATTTGTACAATTGGAAAGAGCTAGTACCATTACTATTAAACTATGTACTATTATAATTCGGGAAATAACAGTATTGAGTAAAGTCCAATATTATAATTAATATTTGGCAAACAATAATATAATTTTAATGTTGTAAAAACGTTGAACTAGGATAATTGTACACCAAGTTATGTAACAAAATGGTTTCAATAGGCGTAGAATGAAAAACAAGTAATACTGTAATACGGACCAATATTCGATCTAGTGAGTGATATCATGCCTAAACGACAGTTAAACAGTTTTAAACTATATAAATATGATTTAAAAAAGGATATTATATTTCTATTTAACAAATTGATCAGGTGATTAAAGTAACAGTCTTCTTTGTTTGAATGGCAAGAAATCTTTTGTTTTATGTATTCAAATTTACTGATGTATGCACTGTTAATTTTACAGGCCAGCAATTTTTGTTCGCAGCTTGTAACATATTTGATTATTTTCTGCTTATATAAGCTTTGTGACAAACATAGAATATTTTTCCTGAGGAAAAAGAAAAATGCAATAAAGTAAGTACAAATTGTATATTAAAATAATTTATAGATATTTTGAAAGTATTAGTTTTTTATGTACGTTTAAGAAAAGTAAAATCAAATGGTATATTTTTTTGTCGTCGGGATTTTACATTAATACCAACATCGTCTAATTTGTATTAACTTCCTCGGTGGTATCGTGCTAGCGTGCTAGCCTCCAGTACGGGAGGTCGTGGATTCGAGACCGAAATTTTTAAAAGCGAAACATATATAACGTTTTAGAGAAACAATTTAGTAAAAAAGATTTTCTTGTAATTGAATACATATAGTACTGTATTTTCGTGAATTAATAGTACATATAGAATTATACTTATAAAACTGTACAAGACCAGCACTGGCAATATTGTTCGATTTATGACAGTTGGTACTTTGATGCTTCTCCGGTAAGCTCGCGGCACTTTAGGAGCAATAGCATATACTTGTTGACTCAGATTCACAATGTGTCACGGACATGTCTCCTTGTGAACTTAAATGTTAAAGATTAGTCTTACTGAGGTTGTCGGTAAACATATTCTCGTCCTTATATGAATGTAATATTTGTCACTGGACATTAACAGCAATCCAACCACCCATCTTATGCGTACTAGTGATAAAAGGGGTAAATTTAACCTCCACCTCATTAATTTTGTCATTTATGGTATTCAAATGGATACAAAACTTGGAAAACTATACATAAGTCCTTGAATCAACTGGGACTTCTGGGACTTTTTGTTTTGCTTTTTCTGTGAAGAAAAATTTACTGTTTCGACTGTATTCTTGACTTTGAAAAAGGCTAAATTTTTCGTACAGGTACACATCAATATAGTCAAAACTTAACAAACCGTTATTTTTCCTGGAAATCTTTCAGATATTTAAGAGATTGATTGGCTGTTGTTTACATTACATCCAGTGGCGAATATTTCAGGCATATTCAGGACAACCATACAATTTTTTTTTCATAATTGATTTTATTATCACATTTTCAGGAAAAAATGACAACGAAATACAGTAAAGACTGTATAACTAAAAACATCGTTTTCATTAAAGAAAACATAGCTTCTGTAGATAGACTGTTAGATATTTTACTGGAGGGAGATGTTATACAGATGCACGAGAGGGAAGATGTTGTAGCTAAGATGCCCGGGGAACGGGTTCACCATATGATCGACATTGTTCTAAAGAGAAGGGCACAACACATCTTCATTGATGCTTTAAAAAGAACCGGACAGACACTGATCGTAGATAGAATCTTAACAACACAAAAAGAACTCGGTTAGTATTTAATTAAACTAGCATTGCTTTTCGTTATTTGGATCAATACATTGGCACATACTCTATACATTTATTCATAATAAATACAATATAGAAAATAAGAAAATAAATTGTTGATTACCAACACATGAATTCAACAATAATCGAAGTGATATTAGTAGGCATATGAAACTTTTTTAAGCACGGCGAAATAGTTATGTCTCCAGCAGCAAAACACTGTTCGTTCAGTTGCACAACGTCTAAATTAAATGTCCTTCCTGCAGTTAATAAATATTTGTATAGTAAACTCTTCCGCAATCTTATTAAAACATAGATCTCTGATTTTGTTATCCTCATTCAACGTGTGGTACGATAGATCTTAATTTTAATCAGATTGACTCTTCCATGAAGTCAATTGGTTGAAATCAAGTATAATATAATCCGAACATTTAAATGAAACGCTTGCTTTTGTACAACTCTAGAGAAATAAGGTATACTAAGGATTTCTGTTTACATAAATATTCATATCAGGTTGAAACTATTAATAATCTGCAATATGTTTTTGATTTTAGCTCAAATAAAGGAACCAAAACCCCACACGGTAAGCTTTATTTATTTGAAATTATGTTGCGTAACATAAAAAACTCATTTACTCATTCACTTGAAATAATGATCTCGTTCTCGCGGAATGATACATCGTTCCTTAGAAATATCGTAATGATCGTTCCAACAGAATGTCGTAATGATCGTTCCCACGGATAATTGTGATGTTATATTGTTCCCAAGGAATATCGTAATGAAAGTTCCATCGGAATATTGTATTGATCGTTCCCACGGAATGTCGAAATGATATATTGTTCCCAAGGAATACCGTAACGATAGTTCCCACGGCATATTTACACGGAATAGCATACTGATCGTTCTTTCGGACTATTGTAATAATTGTTCAATCAGAATATCGTAATGATCGTTCCTACAGAATATCGTAATGATAGATCGTTCACAAGGAATATCGTAATGATCAATTCCACGACACAATGATCATTCTCACGGAATATCATACTGATCGTTCTAACGGAATATCGTAATAATCGTTCCATCTGAATATCGTTATGATAGTGCCATCGGAATATCGTAATGATGTATTGTTCCCAAGAAATATCGTAATGATCGTTCCCACGGAATATCGTAATGATCTTTCCATCATAATATTGTATTGATCGTTCCAACGGAATATCGTAGTGATAAATCGTTCCAATAGAACACCGTAATGACCTTCCCATGGCATAGCGTAATGATCGCTCGCATGACACAATAATCATTCACAGAGAATATCATACTGATCTTTCATTCAGAATATCGTAATGATCGTTCCCACGGAATAATGAAATAATCGTTCCCATGGAATATCGTAATGATATATCGTTCCAAAGGAATATCGTTATGATATATCTTTCCAAAGGAATATTGTAATGATCGATCCCACATCACAATGATCATCACAAGGAATATCATACTGATCGTTCTTACAGAATATCGTAATGATCGTTCCCACAGAATATCGTAAAGATCGTATTTCCGGAATATTATATCGTTCCCTCTAAATAATTACCGTACTGATTTCTTCTACCGTTAGAATCGTATACTAGACTCAAGCTGACAGCCACTTTTAGCAGACAATCAAGCCCTTATTCATTTTTTTTCTAGCAGCCAGATTTATATGATATGTCTAAAGACCAAATCATGACTTTATATATCAATGTATCAAATAAACTATTACCAAAGGTGACATCATATTTCCGACTATTCTCTTGGATGCGAAAATTTTGCGTGATTGGAAGAAAGTGGCTGCTAAAAAAAGTAGCTGATGGCTAGAGTTGCTGCTAAAAGCGGCTTTAAGATTGGGTCTAGATAGTCTGATTGCTGTTTGATATCAATACGATCGATGCCCTTCAGTTCTGAAATGGACATAAAAGAGACCATCAATAACATTAACACAAATGTCCTTATGATTATTCGCCAGTTTTCCTATTTTGTCCTTTTTAAACGGAAGGATTCATTCAGAAACACGTGTGATCAAAATCATTGCCATACCTTCTTAATTTACCGACTGCAGATACAAAAGGTAATCAAAATCATGGCCATACCTTCTTAAAATACAAAAGGTGATCAAAATCATGGCCATACCTTCTTCATTTACCGACTGCAGATACAAAAGGTAAACAAAATCATTGCCATACCTTCTTAATTTACCGACTGCAGATACAAAAGGTAAACGAAATCATGGCCATACCTTCTTAATTTACCGACTGCAGATACAAAAGGTAATCAAAACCATGGCCATACCTTCTTAATGTACCGACTGCAGATACAAAAGGTAAACAAAATCATTGCCCTCCCTTACCTTCTTAATTTACCGACTTCAGATACAAAAGGTAATCAAAATCATGGCCATACCTTCTAAATGTACCGACTGCAGATACAAAAGGTAATCAAAATCATTGCCATACCTTCTTATTGTACCAACTGCAGTTACAAAAGGTAATCAAAATCATGGCCATACGGTTACCTACTTAATTTACCGACTGCAGATACAAAAGGTGACCAAAATCATGGCCATACCTTCTTAATTTACCGACTGCAGATACAAAAAGTAAACAAATTCATTGTCATACCTTTCTTAATTTACCGACTGCAGATACAAAAGGTAAACAAAATCATTGCCATACCTTCTTAATTTACCGACTGCAGATACAAAAGGTAAACAGAAACATGGCCATACCTTCTTAATTTACCGACTGCAGATACAAAAGGTGAGCAAAATCTGCTGTACACGATTGCTTTATCCATTGCATAGGAAATGCCATTTGGATTTTTTTTTAGGATATCTTCAATTAAATTTATAGTATCAAAATATTATTTGTCTCTTGTTATGTGCCAAGTGAACCTGAAACATTTTGTTGGTGAAGCTCATGGCATGAAGAGTATGGTATCACATGTTCAGTAAACAAAAACCTATAAGGACAAACAAACATACAAATAAATAGGCGATTAAATGAATAGAATAAGATATAAATAGGTGATAAAATGAACAGAATTAGATAAATATAATTACTAAGCTATAAACAAATAGGATCTTTCGTATAATCTTATTTCAATATTTCAGATTTCCTTACTAACACCGAAGATCGCAACCTATGCGCCTTTCCACCGAGAACACATAAGTTTGTGGCAACCGAAAGAAAATATGATAGAGAGAAAGTCACATGATGAATATAAAAGCCTGTTAGAAATCAAACGACAAAACGAGGCTAGGATAAAACAACTAGAACACGAAATGGAGAAGGTAAAAAGGACTGAGAAAAAAAGATACAAACAGTTGGAAAAGGAATACAAAGAACTGACAAAAAACAACAATGAACTAAAAGCAAAAGTAGACGAACTGAAGATTCAACTTAATGCACGTGATGAATTTATCAAAACGGCCAGGAGTAGGTCTAGTTATGGACAAGACGAGGTTGATTCACCCGTGAAAAACTCTGACAGGACCTTTCTTGATTTAAAGAAATCACAAGAAAACTTTGAAAACAAACTTATGAAGGAAATGGCAAAAGGTCAGCAGCAATTACTAAACATCGTTCAAGAATTATCACAGAAAAATGTGATACAAGAAATAAAGCTTGCCGAAGCCACCGACAAACTGGAGACAGCCACGGCAAAGCTAAATTCTGTAGCCGAGAAGATTGACAATCGGCTTGATGGACACGACGGCCGTAAATCTACGTCAAAATCCAACGGATCGACCAACTTGAGCGAAATGACTTTACCGCCATTAAATAAATTGGGCAAACATTTTTCCGATGCACTACCACGTCAAAATACATTTATGGATGGTGTTGGCGTGCCTCATAAATTCAAAGAGTGATTTCAATTTTTTTATTTGAAAGACTGCTTTTGATAAATTCTGTATGTTCGATAAAGTAATGTACCCGTTAAGAAGAGGTCGCGTCCTTTTTCTTAAATAAGTGTGAAACCAATGTTAGTTCATTTAAGAATAATTTAGTTTTGGATGTAACACGTCTTCTGATTGGCTGAAAGTTTTTTGTCCATCACCTCATAGACATGATTTTGTCATGCGACCGTGACGTCATCAACGTTTTTTCATTATTTACTCCTTAGAAATGGAATTTAGAATCAAATCATAAGTGTAATATTTTTTCAGTCTATTCGAAATAACCTCAAAAATGTGGTGACACTTTTTAATAACACGCTACGCGGGTTATTCAGTGTTCACTTCATTTTGGATATTTTTTCTTCATAGACAGGAAAAATATAACAGTCATTCCTTAAATGAAACATAGTTTTTTTGGTGTAGGAAAAGCGAAAAAAATCTCATAATCTATAGATTTACACACTAGATCAAAACTCATTTCTTGACTATGAAGGTTGCAGTTATATTATTACAAAAGTACGTTACCGAAAGAATTATACATAGACAAGAACTGTAGTTTTAAAAAAACGACAATGACTCCTTGTACAATTATGAAGTAAATTTCTTATACGACACCCTCTTTACTTTAAAGTATCTCAAACTCCAATGATCGTAACCGTTTAATTGATTCACACCAACTTTAGCATATGTTAAAAAGTAGATTGTGCATGCCTTGGTGAATAATTCTTTAATCAAATTTCATTTTGAAACTAGGCTCAGATTTACTTAACACCAAACTATCATCAGCATAGCATCACACAGTCAGTTTTGACTACTAAGTCTGCAAATTTTATTTTTTTCAAGATATCATTTCAATAGCAATTTCACTACTTTTATTGTAACCTCAAATTCCTTCTTGACTGCGTTTATCTTAAAACTTGAATTTCCGGCGTTCTTGACTTTAAAAACGTCCCCGGTGACAATCTCCATTCGAGGTCCCATTATGAAGAATTCATTAAAAAAGATCCTGTTAATTACAGAAACATGAATTTAAATATTTATTGCAGATACACATTATACAATAAACAACTTAACGTTTTTAGCATGAGTGTGCAACTTTGGTATTTTGCACTTTTGTATTATATATAATCGTGTGTCTATATTCAATACCAAATGTAAAATTTGAAATACATTATTATTATAATCAACAATTGTAAAGGTGTTTAGTTTCATTCTTCATTCAATATAATCACATTCAACTCCGAGAAAAGTTTTTCGTCCATATCAAAGTGTTCCTATATATATATATATATATATATGCTATTTAGAACATATAGTAATGTCTATGTCATGTTGTGATCGTCCACGCAACACAATTGGAACAACAGATTCTTTTTCTTTGTTCTAACTTGAGGGCATCTGTTCGGAATTCATCTGAAAATATACCAAGACCTTTCATTTTGTCCCTGTATTTCTTTGTGAACTTGCAACTGTATAAAATAAATACGTATCAAGAAACTAAGTTTCAGAAAAGAAGAAAAATATGTTTCAAGGAGTTGTGCTTCTATGGCGGGAGCAACTCTGGTATGACATTTGGTGTTTAACAATTCTCAGGAAATACTGATAGATGGCATGGATGTATATTTGCCACAAGGTCTGTAAATAAAGCTACCTAAGTAAAGATTTTCCTGAGGAAACACTTGAAAATAGGTGAAATTCCAGGCTGTTAGTATTCTCGTTTTAGTAATAATTGCTTAACATTTTTCATTTGGGGCCTTTAATAGCTTACTATGCGATATATGGGTTTTGCTCTATGTTGAATGCCGTACGGTGGCTAACAGTTGTTAACCTCTGCTTCATTTGGTCTCTTGCGGGGAGTTGTCTCATTGGTAATCATGTCAAGTCCTCGTATTTCTATACAGGAAATAATGATACATGCCATGTATGTATATTTGTCATAGGTCTATGCATTTCAGTGTTATGCATAAAACATCTTCAACTAAGTTTTACCTTGGTAAAATCTGGGACCAGTAGATTCATTGTATTTGTCACAGGTAAAATCTTAGTTGCTGTAAGTACTGTCCACAATTCTAATGTGGTAGTAGTAGCTTAAATTTTCCAAAAATAAATTAAATCAGTCGAAAGTTACTTAGCAGTTTCGCAGAAAATGAAAAGATTCACTACCGGTAATCAATAAATATTCATTCCGAAGTATTTCATTTGTTTATTTGAAGATAACTAATTGTTTTTGAAAATTTGTTGGTATCAATTGGTGATTTGATGATCGCAAATTGGGTTCACTGACTGAAGTTATATTATAAGGGCAATGTTAATGGGCAGAGGCCTAGAGGAGTGTAATCAGGAATGACACATGTTGAAAGTAGTAATTGAAATAAGTAGTAGATCTAACGTAATCAGGAATGACATATGTGACAAGTCATAAGTGAAAGTAGTAGATCTAATGTAATCAGGAATGGGAGATCAATCGGGAATGCCATAATGTCGTCAGTGCAAACAGGAATGGGAGAGAAATAGGGATGACGCAAAGTCTGCAGTACTGAAGTTATTAGATCTTGTGTAAACAGGAATAGTAGTTCAATCGGGATGACGCAAAGAAGAACAAGGGGGTTAAGAAAATTATTCAAAGTAGTATTTGGTGGGGCTCTTGCTGCTCAATCTTTCGTTTTCTGTGTACTGTTTTGTGATCTGTTAAGCGTCTTAGGGTCTTTTGCCAATTTGTTGTCTGTCATTCTATGACTTTTGTCCTTGATTTTCAGTTTAGCATCTATTACTGTTGTGCAATGTTATATTTAAAAGACTTTATACTTCATGTGAAGAAAGACTGTGTCAAAATGTTTTACTTGATTCGTCATATAATGATTATAAGATATTACATTTTTTTGGTTTAAACTTTGTCTTAAGAGGAAAAAGAACAAATTAACTATACCTTTCAACAACGTTAAATCCGAAGCTCTCCACATGTTAACGTGATTCCAAAATATTTTGACGGATCCACATGTTCGGTTGCAAAGCAAAATTTTTGTCAATATCCAGCATACCCTCTTTTTCAGTGTCAATTCATATTTTCATCATTTATTCCGGTAGACCTACCTTGTAGAAACTACCTATTTGATCCATTGTTAATTTGTTCTCGTCCTAATTATCCATATAATATCTGCCACTGACCGTTTAACAGACAACACTAAATTGATAAATATACCTTTATCGAAGGAAATATGCAAACAGAAAATGACTTTTATACTTAACATATATCAATATATATGTTCCTGCATATATACAGTGAAGTGTCAGCGTTACTGATAACAGAAATGTCACAATGTCATTAAAAACGATATATTGTATTTAGTAGGACAGCTAGCGTAACCATTAACAGTAATCACGGTGAAAAGGTGCAATCAGTGTGGTCATACTAAAATTGTATTCAAAAAGAAGGCTAGTGTAACCAATGCATGAGGCTAGTGTATTGATGGACGAGGGCATTCAGTGTGGTTAAACTAATTGTGTATTCAAAGGGAAAGCTAGTGTACTCAGCGATACCAACGGAGGCTAGTGTACTGATAAATTTAGGCATTCAGTCTGGTCATAATAATTGTGTATTCAAAGAGAAAGCTAGTGTACTCAACGATGCCAACGAGGCTAGTGTACTGATGAATGTAGATATTCAATATGGTCATAATAATTGTAATAATCTTTTTAAAAGGAAAGCTAGTGTACTCAGCGATGTCAAAGGGAAAGCTAGTGTACCGGCGATGCCAAAGAAGCTAGTGTACAAATGAATGGAGGCATTCAGTGTGGTCATACTAATATTGGATACAGAAGGAAAACTAGTGTAACCAATGAGGCTAGTATATTGATGAAAGACGGCAATTAGTATGATCATACCAATATAGTATTCAAAAGGAAAGCTAGGTTAACCAGCAAGGCTGGTGTCCTGATGAATGACGGCAATCAGTGTGATCATACCAATATAGTATTCAAAAGGAAAGCTGGGTTAACCAGCAGGGCTGGTGTCCTGATTAATGAAAGCAACCAGTGTGATCATAACAGTATTGTATTCAGAAGGAAAGCAAGTGTAACCAGTGATGGTATTGTAATGAAGAATAAGTGGAATATTGTGGACAAAGCAGTAATGTATTTTATAGGAAAGTTAGTGTAACAAGCAACCGGACGGTATGATGAATTTGTGGAATCAGTGTGGTTCTCAAATAATTTGTATTCATTAAAAAAGCCAGTGTGACCGAGTCACCGGACGATAGTGAATTGATGAAAAAGTGGAATCAGTATGGTTACCACAGTATTGTAATCAGTGGGAAAGTTAGTGTAAACGCTAGCTACCATACGATTGTGTATTCATGAACAAGTGCAATCAGTGTGCCCATAACAGTGAGGAACTAAGAATGAAAGCTACTGTAACCAGCAACCAAATTCAGTATATTTATGAGCAAGTGGAATCAGCGTGGTCATAAAACAGATATTATAGTGTAATCAGTGCAGACATAACAGTATTATATTTAGTAAGAAAGCTTGTGTAACCAGTGGACAGATGGCAGTGTATTAATGAACTAGTGGAATCCTTGTGGTCATAACAGTATTACATTCAGTAGGAAAGCTTGTGTAACCAGTGGAAATATGGCAGTGTATTTATGAACTTGTGGAATCCTTGTGGTCATAACAGTATTGTATACAGTAGGAAAGCTTGTGTAACCAGTGGACAGATGGCAGTGTATTTGTGAATTAGTGGAATCAGTGCTGTCATACCAGTATTACATTCAGTAAGAAAGCTTGTGTAACAAGTGGACAGATGGCAGTGTATTTATGAACTAGTGAAATCCTTGTGGTCATAACAGTATTGTATTCAGTAGAAAAGCTTGTGTAACCAGTGGACAGATGGCAGTGTATTTGTGAACTAGTGGAATCAGTGCTGTCATACCAGTATTACATTCAGTAAGAAAGCTATTGTAACCAGTGGACAGATGGAAGTGTTTTTATGAACTTGTGGAATCCTTGTGGTCATAACAGTATTACATTCAGTAAGAAAGCTAGTGTAACCAGTGGACATATGGCAGTGTACTTATGAACTTGTGGAATCCTTGTGGTCATAACAGTATTATATTCAGTAGGAAAGCTTGTGTAACCAGTGGACAGATGGCAGTTCATTTATGAACTAGTGTAATCAGTGCTGTCATACCAGTGTTATATTCAGTTAGAAAGCGTGTATAAACAGTGGCCATATGGCAGTGTAATTATGAACTAGTGGAATCCTTGTGGTCATAACAGTATTATATTCAGTAGGAAAGCTTGTATAACCAGTGGCCATATGGCAGTGTATTTATGAACTAGTGGAATCCTTGTGGTCACACCAGTATTGTATTCAGTAGGAAAGCATGTGTAACCAGTTAACAGATGGCAGTGTATTTATGAACAAGTGGAATCCTTGTGGTCATAACAGTATTATATTCAGTAGGAAAGTTTGTGTAACCAGTGGACAGATGGCAGTGTATTTATGAACTAGTGGAATCCTTGTGGTCACAACAGTATTGTATTCAGTAGGAAAGCATGTGTAACCAGTGGACAGATGGCAGTGTATTTATGAACTTCTGGAATCTTTGTGGTCATAACAGTATTATATTCAGTAAGAAAGCTTGTGTAACCAGTGGACAGATGGCAGTGTATAAATGAACTAGTGGAATCTTGTGGTCATAACAGTATTATATTCAGTAGGAAAGCATGTGTAACCAGTGGACAGATGGCAGTGTATTTATGAACAAGTGGAATCCTTGTGGTCATAACAGTATTATATTCAGTAGGAAAGCTTGTATGACAAGTGGACATATGGCAGTTTATTTATGAACTTGTGGAATCTTTGTGGTCATAACAGTATTGTATTCAGTAGGAAAGCTTGTGTAACCAGTGGACAGATGGCAGTGTATTTATGAACTAGTGCTATCCTTGTGGTCATAACAGTATTATATTCAGTAGGAAAGCTTGTATGACAAGTGGACATATGGCAGTGTATTTATGAACTAGTGGAATCAGTGCTGTCATACCAGTATTACATTCAGTAAGAAAGCTTGTGTAACAAGTGGACAGATGGCAGTGTATTTATGAACTAGTGAAATCCTTGTGGTCATAACAGTATTATATTCAGTAGGAAAGCTTGTATGACAAGTGGACATATGCAGTGTATTTATGAACTA